ACAGAACATTCCTGAAACATACTGGGCAGGCATGCTCACAGATGCAGAGCAGCAGAGTTAATAGAACATTCCTGAAAGGGGTGGAGTTAACAGAACATTTTTTTAGAGGTCTAGGGGTTCAAATAGTTACAAGACATTTTGATACACTGGGCAGGAGCACATGCTGCACAAATTGTTACATTTTTGGAGCAAAACATTTTAAGGAAAAAAATATGGTAGGGGGGAGGCAAAGGCTTGCCTGATGTGTTATTACTCCATCAATTCAACCAAGTTACTTTTCTCCTCTTTTATATGGAATGTCACCCTCTTTGAAACAAGTATCTCTTCCACAGTGTTACTGCGGTAGGCAATACATGAATGTTCACTGGAAAATATAAATCTTCTCTAAGCAAAGACACAAAGCAAAATCTTTCCTGGACATTACAATGTTAAATAGTCACCCAAAAAGTGATTAGTCAAAAAGATACATCTGAGTCCTAATCTGTGAATCTAAACTTACTTGGAAGCAGGATCTTTGCACAGGTCATTGAGTTAAGGATCTAGGGAAGAGATTATCCTGGATTTAGACTGAGCTATAAATCTAGTGATTAGTGGGCTCAAAGAGAGGAGAGGAAGGTTTGAGACACAGACACAGAGAAGGCAATGTGAAGATGGATGCAAAAGTTGGAGTGTTGCAACTACAAGTCAAACGTTGAGGATTAAAGGAAAACCACAGAAGCTAGGAAAGAGAGGAGGACCTGCTTCTTCCCTCGGTCTCTAATATGTACTGATTCTGTCACCACCTTGATTTCAGATTTCTGGATTCCAAAACTGCTAAACGTTTGTGGTACTGTGTGATGGTGATCCCAGGGAATCAATACAGGCATAGAAATAGGTACCTGAACAGAAATTTTGGCTCCACAGGGAATATATATGTGTACACATGTATCTGTGTAAGTTGGAATCATTGTTCTGACCTCAAATCCTCCTACTCCATTATGAGAATGGTAGTTGTGAGGAGTATCCAATAAATATTTATTCCATTGATGAATAAATTCCTTCATCAGAAAACTAGCAGTGTGGGTGCTACATGGATGAGTCAGTTACAGCTATGGGTAGACATGGATCAGCTATAAATCTTCCTGGGATCAGAAGAAAAGTGATTGTCCAGTTATGTTTCCACAATCTCTACTGGGGATATGAGTAATGAAAGTCAACATATTCCCCTCCTTAAAAGACTTTTCTTATCCCCTTCCCTTCATCCAGTCAAAAGAGAGTCTATCTCTGACCTCCCACAGTCCCTCCTGGCCACTTTGTCTCAGAGTCAGCTGTGTATGAAAAGTCTCTTTCGATATTAAACCAAACAAATTGATGGCAATTCCATCCCATGAAAAGTGGCTGGATTTTAAACTAGGAAATATAAAATTTCTTTCCATTTTGACCCAAGGCAAACTACTTTCCCTCAGGGCTTCAGGCACTTCTGTGAAATAGCAATAAAAATCCCTGTCAGACACCCCTCACAATCTTTATGGGAGCTGTAAGTAAAGTAACTGAAGTGAAGGTATTGCCAAAGAGAGCATGCAGCCGAAAGAGCAAAACCCACAAATGGCAGCTCACAGTCAAAACAAACATAAAAGCTCATTTGCCTTTTCAGCCCTCAAAACACAACTTACTCCAGAGAGTATCTCCTTAGATGTCTCTGGCACACACAAGACGTGGCCAGATGCAGCAATGCCCTCACTCCATTATAACCAGGAAGCTTCAGAGCAGAGTTTTCTTAAGGCCCTTGAAAACACACAAAACAACCAGACTTTTCTTAACTCCATAACGGGCACCCTAGTAAATAACATAGCTCAGAACTTCTGTTTGCAAGGGAAAGCGAGGAGCCCCTTCCCTGTACAAATGGAGTCCCCCAGGTCATGGTCAGCCTGTCCACATGGCCAAGAGACCATTCCTTCGTCTTTCAGTTTCAGACTCTAAAGATTGTTAGAATCTCACATTTTGACATTTTTCGCATTTTGTATAATCATAACTAGGTACTTTATTTCTTATTTTGGGGTAACTATTAACTGGATTCTGAATTAATATAGAATTTAGGGGCTTTTTCTTTCCCCCATCAAAGTTCCAATTTGTACTCTATTTCAAGGCCCTGCTGAAGTCTTCTTGCAGCATAATGATTCAGTTAATTTATGGAACATCTAGAGAGTGCTTCTCTGGTGGTCAGGCTAGCTTGGGAAATTTCACTAAATCTCTGATAAGATGACCTTAAGAAGTTTTTGCAGGAGTTCCTAATCAGAAGTATATAGATTCCTAAAGCTTATGTATGGGTTTTAGGACTGCTATAAAGCCCCCAAATTTCTGGGATATTTGCATGTATATGTGCACTGTGGAGGAGGAAATAACCTCCAGTAGATCTAGAGCAAGTTAAAAGTTATTAGCCCCTTCAGCTTTCTTACATAAAATATTTTTACTAGTATGCTATTATAATCACTACTAAATTATTTACCCTTCTCCAGGCCTCCTGTAGGTGCCTACATTATCTCATAACAACCTTCCAGTTTAGATCTGTTTTTTATCACCATTAATGAAGCTATTGAGATGATATAACTTGGCTTAGTTTGGTTCAATTGAATCTGGCTGAGGTCACTGCTTTTGTAAGATAGGCGACAACATAGCAGCGATTCTCATATAATTTTTGCCTCTTAATTTTTTCCAGTGTTATTTATCACAGTGAACCACCTCTCCTGGAGTCGCTGGTTTCTGGATGGAATTAAAGGATATCCCCACCAAAAGCTTGGCCAGTGCTCTGACTTGATGGGTGGCCCGTTGCCTTGAGTCTTAGTCTGGGAGGGAGAGAAGGGAAGATTGCTGATCTGATGAGCATGATGGACCAGAAAAACCTCTGTCTGCAGCTCTGTGAAGAAATGCCAGAGCCGACTGTTGGCCCCTCTATCAAATGAGGACTGAAACCAAGGAAGCAGAAGGGCTGCACCTAAAACCCTAATTAGTCTAGAGCATAAAATAGAGGAACTTGTAGAGATTCTGCCTGTGACATAACTAGAAAAATCTTCTCGCTTCTCTGTTCTTCAGATTTCTTATCTGAAAAGTGAGGAGATTAAATCACGTGATTTCAAAGTAACCCTCCACCGCTCTGTAGCAGGGTCAATTAGTCAAGCTTCCATTTTCGATACACAGTGGTACCTTAGCTCATGAACTTAATTCGCTCCGCAATTGTGAGGAAAATGGCCATGTTTGTGTTCATGCTGGGAAGATGGTCTTAATTGTTTTCATCACCTAATGCAGAGTTCACAGCCAGAAGCAAAATTTTGCCAAATGCTTCTGTTCACAAACCAAATTGTTCTCAAACAGAAGCATTCTTGAACTAGGTCATTGCTGTATTTTGAACATATATTACCAAAGTGCAAAGTATTAGAATAAAAAATCAAATCTCACTTAGACTTCAAGGTCACAAACAGAATCTGGGAGGATATTTTATTTATAAATCATCTGTTTTATAAAAATGTACATAGAAACTTAATAGAAGCCATTATTGATTAAATCAGCAGAAAAAGAGCAGGGAGTATCCAAGGTAGGCAATTTATAATGATGGATTATCAAGGAGCTTGTCTCCTGTCAATTCAAAAAGCTTTTCTGGCTGCTCACTTTTCATTTCCAAAGCTTCAAACTCAAATAGCTCTTTGCAGAAACAATTGCACTAGACAAGTTAATATAATGGTTTTATGATGCCTAGTGCTCACCACCACCCCTTTCCTGGTCTCCAACTTTATCTAATGCTGCTGTGAAGAAAGGTAATAGTCACTTAAGAGGCATTTGCAATGGACCACCCACTGCAGAAGGCATTTAACACACATGCCATCCCCTGTGATACACTAAACAACCTTGTGAAACAGTTGTTTAGATTCCCATTTTATTCATGAGAAAACTGACTGTCAGAAAAATTAAGTCGATCACAAATTTACAAAGGACTGAAACTGGAGTTAGAAAGTGTGATTGTGGCCAGTTCACCAGAAACTAAATGCAGGAGAACTCAGACTTCCTTCTTCAGCCCAAGGTGATCTATTGATTTTCTCACCGATCCTTCACTACCCTCAGTGTTATGATTTGAATTTTGTCCCTTCAAAACTCATGTTGAGATTCTAACTCTCCATACATCACCATGTGACCTCATTTGGAGTTAGGGTCTTTACAGAAATAATCAAATTAAAAATGAGACCATTAGTGTGGACCCTAATCCAAAGTGACTGGTGTCAACATAGAAAGGGGGAAATTTGGACACAGAAACACGTTATCCAAGAACACCAAGTAAAGATGAAGGTGGATTCAGGTGAAGCCCTTGAACACTAAAAGTGACCAGCAAACCACCAGAAGTTAGGAGAGAGCCAAAGACAGATCCTCATTTACATTCTCAGGAAAAACTAACCTTGTCAACACCTTAATTTCAGAATTCCAGCCTCCACAGCTGTGGGACTGGGACTATGAATTTCTGTTGCTTAAGCCACCCAGTTTGTAGTGCTGTTACAGCAGCTCCTGCAAAATGTGACACCTGGTTAGGTGGCTATCAAAGGCACCAATAGCAGTTTCATGAGTTCAAAGTCATGGCCAGGAAAGTCTCTCATACTCAAGGCAAAGCTCTTTCCAGCCATTTGTTCTTTAGCCACTCATCTCAACCCCAAAAGGGAGTAAGGAAAGGCAAATATTCTCTCCTCAACTTCAAAGATAAGTAATAAGAGGCTCCGAAATTTGAGAGACTTAAGAGAGTTGCAATCAAACTCAGAAGCAATTAAAACTTGGACCCAAGGATATCTGCCTCTGGGTCCAGTCTGAATCCCCTGCATAATGCTAATTCCCGCAAGAACAGGGGCATGTTCCGAAAATATCAACATCACCGTCCATCTTGCCACCCAGTAACTTCCATCATTATTAGTTGAACGTTTTTCAGAGCCTTGAAACTTCCCTGTAGTGGAACCTAAAGAAACTAAAACAACTGCCTTCCTTTTCAGAGGACAGCGGACTCTCCTCACAGAAGAGCCTTTTAGGGATGGAGGTGTTATGTTTTAGTCTGGCCATGGAAGACATGGAAAGGAGAGAACCCAAAGCAGTGACTTACAATGCAGTATGTATTGATGACCACCTACCATACTGCTCATACTGTGCTGGGTCTTGGAAAATGAAAGATGAAAATGAAGATGGCCAAGACACAGTTCTCATCCTCAATGGCTCCTGATAAAGGAGAGACAGGCACAGAAAGAGAATTTCCCACAGCCACCCTCAGCCCAGCTGATGGTTCAGAGAAGACTTCTAGGAAGAACTGATGTGAACAGTATACCCTTTAACTCTATCAAGTCCATAAAAAAAATCACATAGGTCCCTTGAAGAACAAGAACTTCCAGCACACCTTAGAAGGTTCACCACCCACCATGTAGACTGAAAGGAAGTAAAAAATGTATTTTCCAAATTTTATACCTTCTTGCCTGCTCTCCAAAATAGTTCTCACTCCGACCCCAGGGACGGTGGGAAGCTTTCCATATCCTATCACACTTTTCAATATGTTCCATACTTTGGATAGTGTTATGGTTTAGCTCCGGGGTGTCCCCTGAAAGCCTCCTATGTTTGACAGGTGGTGAGTCTTGGTGGATCTGTAGCTGACTTGCTATGAGGAGGTGGAGCCTGTTGGAGGTGGGTAACCAGGGGTGTAATTTGCAAGAACATATCTCCCACCCAGCCTCCTCCTTTCACTCTGCTTCCTGGTTCCCAAGACTTGATCCTATGCTCCTTTGCTATTGTGTTTCTGCCTTGGAGTCAACCAATAATGGACTGGAACCTCTAAAAATTATGAGCTCAAATAAACCTCTTCCTTTAAGTTGTGGTTTTTGGAGTATTTTCTCCTAACAACAAAACAATTACTAAAACAAATAGTCTATATATTTTTTGAGCACTTTTTATGTTCTAGGTATTTTGCTTAGTACATTCCATATTTGACCCCATCTAATTTCCATTTTATAGATAAGTAAACTTAGAGAGGTTAGGTAAGCCATAGTCACAAAAGTGGCAAAGAGTGAGACTTCTCTACATAATATCTACTCTACCTTCCTCTTTTCTAAAAGACACCAATTTTCTTTAGGGCAGTAAAACTCCCAGCTAAAAACCAAATTTCCCAAACCCTTAATAAACAAGGCAGCCACATGACATAGTCTTTTGAAGGAGTCTGAGCCTATAAAGCTCTTTAAAAAGGTCAAAATCAGTTAGCATGTGCAACTACGCCCATCATTTTTCTCCATGTTTTCTCATTATTACAAGAATGTGAGAGCTGGTACTCCTGCAGCCATTCTGAAGCTAAGATGGGTCATGCGCACACAAAGGACTGCTGAACAGAATATAAAGACCTAACGTCACCGCTGACGTTTATGTGCAGTGTGCCAGCAATAGACGGCCTACCTCTGTGTTTGTCATTGTTTGATAGAAAAGTAGACTTATGAATGTTATATGTGCAGCTACTTTTGTTTGTTTTTCTCTTATTTTTAACAGAAATCATTTCCAGATAAAATATACTGAAATGGCTCAGTGGTGAAATATTCCTGGGAAGCGTCTAGCTTCAAAATTCATAGCTAGGAAGATCTCTCCTTGTAGAGCTGGAAGTGAAACCAGGCCATTCATATGTTCATAGTGTAAGATTAAACAGGGAATGAACTGGAAACAGGAAGAGGTGTCACGTATGGGCCTGAGGAAAACAAGCTGTGCTTGGAGAACCCCAGCCAGGACCCTATTCTGGCTTGGTCACTAAGTCATAATAATCTGGAGCAAGTCATATTCTCTCTTTGGGCCTCAGTTTTTTCATATTTATAATGAGAAGTTTGGGCTGGAAATCCCTGTGATCTCAACACAGAGAGGCAACTGATCTCTAAACCAGATTAAACAAGGAGCCTCTTGCACCCACGGTGTTCAGAAATAAGGCTCCTAGAGGGTCCATGTTCAATCAGAGACCAATACTCCTCCAACTGTCTGCTCCTTCAACCCTTCCCATCACAACCAGGAGATGCACACAAACTCCTCCCATGGGTGTGAAGTCCTCCCCATGAGTGTGAAGTCTTCTCCATGTGTACAAAGTCCTCCTCAAGAGCATAAGGGCCTCCTCGTTCCCATTTGGTCACCATTTGTTTCCCATGTGCTAACACAAAAGTCCAGCCAAAGCTAGTAAATTAGATGGTTCCATTCACATAAGGCTATAAAATAACATTCTCTATCTGAAGAGTCGAAAGAACTTCACAAAACCACATTTTCTTTCTGAAGTATTCTGAGAAATTTACAGCTATTCCCTTTTCAAAAGTAGAAATTCATTGCCAGCGGGCATATTAAGATTTTTGAGCTCTGAGTTCCCTTTATGGAATGAGGCTTATATGAGGCTGTTTACAACAACACAAAAGTATAAGACAATTGTATGAAGATTGCAGGAAAAACAAAAACAAAACAACCAAAAAAGCACAAAGCTAGACACCCGTAGGTCAGCACAGTTGATGTACACCACATGATCTTAAACTGTTGCCAGAAAAAGCCACAAAAGCTGCAACTTTCTTGCCACTTAGGCAAATATGGTCATAATTTCAGGGGTACTAACTTCCTGAAGGCCACAGTTACCCAGCAAATCTGTAGCCAAGTCAGCCATAAAATGTAGGGCATTACCCTTTTCCCAGCACTAAATTCTACCCACAGAGAGCACCCTGACAACCCCTTATAGGCAAGACCCCCAGGAAGCTGAAAGACAAGATTCTCCCCAGTGTCTGGGAAAGAAGAGCTATTCACCTAGCGAACACTGAGCAGGTCAAGCCATCAGAGACTCAAGTTGTTTGCAGAGCTTGGTGCCTCAACTAATGTGGGCAACCATACAAAGACAAAGCTATGTGAAGAACGGAGGCAGAGGGCTGGTGTGTATCTCAGTGGTGCAGTATTTTCCCAGCATGTGTGAGGCCCTGGGCTCAATCCTTATCACTGCAAATTTTTTTTAAAAAAGGAGATAGAGGGATGGGTATTCAGAAATACTGCAATAAAGAATATCACAGAGAGGACCGTTGGTTCTGTGTAAGCACTGTCTTGAGGAAAGCCATTTGAGTCTAGACTAGGATTTCTGGGTGGACAGTGGGATTCTTCTTACTATGAATCCATTCTCAACAAGCAAGCTTCAGATTAAGACTTAGCTTTCAGGGGGGTCATCCTCAGGATAAGGCAGTTCTGTCACATAGAATTTTGCGGTCCAGTCCCAGAGGCTGTGGTTCTGCCCTGAGAATCCACAGTTGGATGCATCAACCTTATGAGCTTGGTTCCTATGAGCTGCCCTGGGAGAACAGATGCCCTAAGTGCTAATAAACTCATGTCTGAGATGGTGTAACTCAGGGCCAGACAGCTGATCACACCCAATTCTCCGAGAGAAAGACCACATCATTTCATTATTCCTGGATAATAACCAGTCTGTAGTTCTTCTGGAGTCCCCACCCCACTTGGCTTGTGTTTGAACTTGCACAAGGATAAGCATGAAGAAAGCTCAAGCTCCTTGTCACTCTGGCTTTCTTGCCTGCCCTCCTTGTTTGGGTAACCCCCACAGACTAACTTGGGTCTGGCTACCAGTGGTACATGCTGCTTCTAAAATCTTGTGCCTACCTCAGTTCTTGCATATTGATGTAAAAAATCATTACATTTCAAACAACCAAATTGCTAGCACTTTACATTTATTACGCACATTACCCACAGGCAAATTTGAAAATTATAGCTCTTCTTGGGTGTTTTATACTAGATTTCAAACAGCCCAGCCCAGCGTGAAACTGGAGGCAGAAGGTAGAGAGGGATTGACTTTACCTTCTGATTAGTTGCGATGAAAAATGTTTTGAGAAACACAAACAGAATGACAATAACATGGTTCATTGGCCTGATCACCTGTTATCCATAAACAGATAATTGTGCCGCTGAGAGCTTTTGTGGCTTAAGTCAGCTTGTGTAGACCAAAAGGGACGAGCAGAGCTGTTTTCAGTTTGGGCTTTAAACACATCCCTAAGCTAATGTAAATGCCAACAAAATACTAAAAAATAAATAGGTAAAATAAATGAAGAATCCACAGCATAGCCAGTAGCAGGTCAGTATCAAGAAGAGGACAGAACTGCACAGAAGTAATGATCTTCAGAACTTAGTTGTGCAGCAACTTCCCTTAGAGGGCCACTGCTGACTCCCCACCCATCCCTAATTAGGAAGCAGGTTCTAAATTCCCCAAATACCTTATTTGAGCTGTTCTCCTCATCTACCCCATCTTCTTATTTTGCAAACATTCACCTGGGTGTCCCACCTTTCCTTGTAGCTGGTCAGTTTGAGGGAGAAGCTGGGTCTCTTTCATCCATTTCCCTTGGAGTATTGGCTTTATCCACTTATCTTATGGGTGCTCAGGAAAAAATGGAGAAAGAAGATCCAGGAGAAGTTGTGGAGTAAGAAGACTCCCTCATGCATTTATAGCACTTTACAGTTTCTCGAGTTAGTTCACAGATGTGATCCCATCTGAGCTGCCCAAAGCCCTGGGAGGCTTACCAGAACAGTTACCCTCCACTTAGGACAAAGATGTTTTTACTTTTTACAGGTATTATTTTCATAGATCTTCTCTAAATTGGAATTATATTGGTCCTTACCCAATAAAGCTACTACAAAGACTAAATAATACTAAAATGATTAATATATGTAGAAGCCCTCACAATGGAGCCCAGCACATGGAAACGCCAACATATGTTTGTTGTTGTTACTGTCTGATTTAATCCGGATTCAAAAGAATAGGATGAAAATGTTCTGCTGTCTGACCCAGGGTCCCCATGGCACCTTTGGGACACTGGCTTCCCATAAACTAGGGTCTGTGCAAACTGCTTCCTGCTGTGGCTCTCCAAGTCCTCATCTGTGTCACAAATGTTTGGAGTGGACCTTGGCCATGAGCACTGTCTATCATGGCCATCTATGGAGATACATTCTCCCATCTTCCCAAGCAACTTCTCTTTCTCCTCCAGGGTTTGTCTTTTCCCTCCCAGAGGCGAGAGAAGGCCATCTGCTCCTAATGCTCACAGCCATTCTGAGTTTTACCAAATAGCCATTTACTCTTCACGTGGAGGTGGGGCACTCAAGTCCTGAATGGGCAGAAATGTCCATGCATGCTGTTTACTGGAGAGGAGGATTAGATCAGGTATCTTAGGGGCAGACAGGCTCATGGCAGCCAGGAGGGGGCCCTGGGCACAATCCCAGTGTTGATGCCAGGTCACCTGGCCCTGGAGCCGGAGGAAGGAAAGCATAGCAAACATGAACAAGCATGGCTCACTCATCCCCACTGACCTGACCAGAGCTGCTGCATGCACTGTCTATGCTGTGAATTCTTCCTCTGGTTCCGAAAAGGTTAAAAACAAGAAAAAAAGTAAAACCATTAGTCAAGAGGCAAACTCCATGTCCTGAGAATTGGAACACGGACACTAGTTTATGGATTTATTCTAGCACAATGGAACTCTTTCTTCATTCTCTCGCCCAGTCCTCCTCTAGGCAGGCTGTCATCAGATTCCATGTCTCACTGGATCCCTCTCAGACCCAGGAAAAGCATCTCTCTTCTCTCTGAATGAACGCCCACATTTCTCTCTCCTTTCTTGGAACATTTAGCTCTTTCTGCCTTGTTACAAGTTGTTAGTCTGTACATTTTATCTTCTTCACCCTAAACATCATCCCATGCTGCAGAATTAACTTGAATCTCTTGGGTGCCACAACAGCCCCTTCCACATGCACTGACCTCATTTGCTCTTGGTTGTTTGCTA